CATCCTCCGACCATGAAGTGGGCCTACTACGTATAAAGGCTATTTGTTCCTCCCGGTCAGGGTGAGGAAACAGGTGTACAAATAAATGTTGCTTTTACCTCTATTACTATATGACTCAGATGAAGCAGGGATTACAAGAAGCTAAACTTTTTGGTTTTGTTTCTGGTATTGGAGACTGAACCCAGGGTCTTTGCACCGAATTAATCCCATCCCCCCCTTTTTTTCTTTTTTTGAGGCACAGTTTTGCTAAATCTCTAAATTGTCCCAGGCTGGGACAGAACTGGAGATCCTCCTTCCTCAGCCTAGGGCAAGGCTGGGATTAGAGGTGAGTTGCTACAATGCCTGGCTTTAGCTAAACTGTTACCAAAGGCAACAGATGGATAAAAGTGAGGGGGGTGAACTGGGCACAGAGATGCAGACCTCTAATCCTAGCTCTTGGGATGGTGAGTTGGAGGATTGCCAGTTCAAGGCTAGCCTGGGCATTTCAGTGAGAGATCTCAAAAAAAAAAAAAAAAAAAAAAAAAATTAAAAGGGCTGGAGATGTAGGCTTGGTGTGAAAGCCTTGGTTTAAATTTGAAAAACTGCCCCCCGCAAAAGAAAGAAAGAAAAAAAAAGGTCTTTAAAGACAGTAGCTAGGAGATTAAGGACAAAGGCATTTTATTGCATTTCAGAGTTTGGTTTGCTTTAATGTTATTGTAAAAATAATCATTTTGGCATTTTATAACACTTGCTTAAATCTTGCTGCCTTAAATGAGTTCTAGTTTAACTACTAAAATTCATGATTCCAAATCTGTGAATTATTAGAAAAAGTCCTTAAATGCTTGTTTGAATACCACATAAGGACATGTCATTATTAGGATTATAATTATTATTGTTCATGGATTCTATATTTGAGTCCTTCAGACTGGGTTTACTATATATAATTACTTCCCTATTATTATTAATTAAAAGCATATGAAAGAACCAATCTAAGTATCTGTTCAACATGAGACAAAGTTACTCTAATGAGGAGATAAGATTTCATTCAAATAATGTTTTCAAGTATTTTTATGAAGCTACTACAGACAACTAACACCATTATTTTCATGAGCTGTTAACCAGTACAGGCCATGTGTGCAAAGCTTTTTACTGCCACTTTATAATAAATAGCATGCCAATACAGGGTCAGTCATGTACAGAGTCAAGCATATATCCCCTAGAATGCTGAAACTACAAAAAACCCTGTCAGTAATGTTTACAAAGGTGTGTATGTACGCATGGATGTGATGTCTTTGTCTCTACATACATATTCAGATTTGACTCAGAAAGATTGTCAAGACTCATTTAGAAAGGTAACTTGTTTAAAAAAGTTTCATGACTTTACCATGGGCCCGGAATAGAGGTATAGAATGGGGAATACACTAAATAAAATACAGAGGGTACATTTTTGCATTATAAAATAACAAAAGCTAATTAAGGAGCTCTGGCTCTGCACCTCTGGGTAACTCAATTTTTACTGAAACTCAATTTTTCCTTTTAAAACAGGAATAATGATAGCATCTAACTTGTGGGATATTTTTGAGGAGAAGAAAGTTAAAATGCATAAAGGGCTAAGAACAGTGCTTGCCACATAGGAGCTACTGCTGTTGTTCTTACTACTGTTTCAGTGGGTATCCTTGATATGTCCTGACTGCCAAATTTTAAAGCCGTGCCTCTTTTTTAATATATGTGCTGCTGAAGTGAGCACCTGTGTGCCTTTTCAAATGATTCTGAACATGCTACAATTTGCTAAACTCAGCATTGTATATTTCCAATTAAACCAGCGTCATATAAACAGAGATAACAGACACAGTGCATAAGGACTGAATAACTTTCTGGTTACCATGAAGGATTTTAACAGCTTAGGTATCATTGAGCCAACAAAGCTACACGGAGTACACTTGGGGTTAAAAATGTCTGCTAAACAGAAAGAATTCAGCATCTACACTTCTGTCTTAAAATACACCTGCTACTAGCAAACTCACTTTCTGGGGCCTGAAAACAGCAGGCTAATAAATGTCTTTTGCAGACCTTCTCACTTGGCAGAACATACTTTGTCCATCTGAACTGTAATGCTTTTGGACAATCAGGGAGCCCAAGAAATAACTCTGGTCAGGAAGAATATAAAGGTTTTACAAGAGCAGATTACAAAGAAAGAGCAAGCGCACGGACTAACCTGTGAAACGCATCCTTCTCCTTGGATCTGAGTGTGTTTTGAGGGAACAGTATAACTCAGCTCCAGAAAGAGATAAGCTGAAGCTGGTGGATTAGCAGCTCTGGGCCCTGGACATTTCTGGGACCATTATTCTTTCTAAAGCCTCCATTTCTTCTGCCCTCTTGGGTCAGTTCTTCAGCCAAAGTTCCTTTTGAGAATTTGATCCACTTCCCTTTTAGAGCTGCCACTTCCACCAGCTGCTTCTCTCATTACCTTACTGTTGGGGCGGAAAAGGCCAACCCCGGGTTATTCTAATGATAGCAAACACCTCATAAAGAAATCTGCCAAATTTACTTTTCCACAGAACATCATTTTTTACAGTGTTTCAAGAGCCCACGAGGAAAGAAAGCATCATGTATAAAATACGACCTCCAGAAATCTTGAAAATATTAAGGAGTATTTCTGCAGCATTCTGCTGGTGGGTACACCACCTTTTACAGGATGGGAAGTCCACCAGGCTGTCATTGGACCTATTTACCGGTAGGATAGGAGAAGAGCCACTCAGGAAGTCAGGATGCTTTTTGAAATGGCCTAAATGTAAAAGAATTTTAAGTTTCAAGGTATATACTTTTTCATGCTTGGTTTCGCATTTGTATGTAAGGGCCTGCTTGGTCTAATTTATAATGCCTCGGTAGACACACAGCTTGGTGTAAATAATCAACAGTTGGGAATGGGTGAGCTGGCAACTTTCTTAATCTTTCCACCCTTCACTTGTGGAAACCCTAAAGGGGGATATTAACATTGCTGTGCTTCACAGGGTTATGCTGAAATTAAATGCATTAAATCCTGGAAAGCACTTCAAACAGTAGCAACCAGTAGATATATGTTACAGGAATGTTTCAGCGAATTTTTCTTTCTTACACAGTAAAGTCTCTCTGCAACAAATTGCATAGAGATGTAAAAAATAAAATAAAATTAGCAGTAAAGACTGTGGAGCCCTTTGGGGACAATGGATAATGCTTATGTGAATACTGCAGAATGCAGAGTTTCAGAAGCCGCTTGTTTGAAGAAGAGAGTTTGAGAGCCTGAGAATCCGCTCTGCTTCCTGGAAGAACCCTGCTCACCTCGACCAGTTCCCCAAGTACATCCCTGGACCCAAGGAGAAGCGCTTTCCAAGATAGCAGCATGAAAGCCCTGCCTGTGCGACCTTTACTCAGATGCCCAAGCGCACCTGGAACCTACCCACCCTCAGCTATATCCCACCAGCCGCATCTCCTCTCCTGCCTTGAAGCTAAACTAGATCAACAGCATCCTATACTGGAAAGCGACCTTTAAGGGGACAGGACGCACTAAAATCTGAGCTACAAGTTTAAAAGCCTCAGGTAACCTCGGTCCAGATCACAACAGGTGCCTTGACTGTGCATCCTGCGTATGGCCAAGAGTGTAGCGAGGTGTCCAGGGAGGGGCCCAAGGGGGCAGGGGAACCACGCGATGAGGTGGTGGTCCCGGCTGGACTCCTCTGGAAATAATGTCCCGAGCTCTATTACTTTCTGAGGGGACAGACACGCAGTGTTTTCTCCCGGTGTTGCCGTTTCAGGACATCATTTTATAAGGTCTCCTTGGGTCCCCCACGCAGTCCTCTTATTTCACTCAGCCTCTAAAGAGCAGCCGAAGACTTGCTGCACCCGAAAGCAAACACACACTCCACACTTCCTCCGCGCATCCCATGCCCGGCAACCTGCTACCCTACCACTGACGCATCTGGACCGCGCACCTGGGAGATCTCGGACGGGTCCTAGCTTCCGGCACAGACCCCCGCTCTGTCTCGGCCTACGCAGTGCTTCCCGGGCGGAACCGCTGCGGAACAGTTGCTCCGGATGGGGCGGGGGACCCGCCTCCTCGCGTGCACCCGGCCTCCTGCGCGCCCCGCTCCCGCGCACTCACCTGCAGCTGGCCCTGGCTCGCGTTGTCCGCAGCCGCGTTGGGCCCGTCAGCAGCTCCGGAACCGCGCAGAACCGTGATGTGCAGCGTGAGCAGCAGCAGCCCCAAGATCAGCAGCAGTTCGGCCGCCAGGCGCACCATCCTCTTGAGGCGCACGGCTTTAGGACCCCGCTGCGCCGCGAGAGGCGGCGGCGCAGGGGGAGGAGGAGTCGGAGCCCGGGAGCCCGGCGGCACGGCCCCCGCCTCGGCCCCAGCCGGGGC